AAAAAAAAAAAAAAAATATGAGGAGACTAAGCCTAAAGAATGCCTCTGAGAAGACAAGAAGGAGGATCACAGTGTGTGAGATTGTTAGCTATTGCAGACAGATTTTCTAACAGTGCTGTTTACTTCAAAAGGAAATTAATTCCCTTCAAATTGGGGCTTTCTAATGTTGTGTTATGGTGCCACCTTTTGGACATAAATTGAAAACCTAGCTGCTTAAGTTTTTAGTCTTTACTCATGTTCATTAAACAACTGAATTTAGTAAACTGTGTCTTGTAAGTTTGAGGGGTGCATGCGTGTGCCCCCTCCTTCCTTTTCCCTTGTTGCACTCTGGAAAGCAAGATGGGTCACCAGCAGCTTTACTGGAGCCACCCGTGCAAATTTGACCAGGGTTCTCGCTCTTGCCGTGTCTGCTCAAACTGGCCTGCTCTGATCTGGAAGTATGGCCTCAGTATGTGCCGCCAGTGCTTCCATCAGTAGGCGAAGGACATCGGGTTCATTAAGTTGGACTAAGTAATTTTCCTTGAATGGATTATCCAGGGGGCAGCAGTGAAAGAAATCAACTCTTTGTACATAAAATAAAGTTTTTTTAAAAACCCAAAACAATTGAATTTAGGGCCATGGTGGGTTCTCAAATTTATATTCTGCATTACAGCTAAGGAACTACCTAACCAAATCCCTGGAATCTGTAAGAGAATGCTCGTGGCCTCCTAAAGTTTGAGTTTTTAGCTGTTTGGAAGACACACTGCAAAAGTGCCACCTCTATCTTCTGGTTCTCTCTCTCCATTCCCTAACCAAGAGAAGACTGTGGAATGGCTTAGAGAAACCAGGAGTCCAAAATCTTGGCTTCTGCCTCCAGGGCACAATGATCCAGGTTTTTCCTTCCCAGGGTCTGTCCAAGTATGGTGCAAAGTGCCTCAAAGTTTTGGCAAGCTACTAAATAATAAATCATTTTTGCATAAGTAATTATCATTTATTAAGGGGGGGTGTTAAACAACAGATGCAAGCTGGAACATCACCATACTACTCAGCATAATGGGATAAAGTATCTTTCAAACACCATTCATGGGCGGCCTCAAAGCCAAGGATCCTCAGGACAGCACAGGACAAGAAAGACAGAGTAAAGTCACTTTATAGACTGCCTGGCCAATATTCACTTAAAATTAAAGCTCTAATCATGTTATTAGACAAATGTTATGCAGGTTGTAGATTTTGTATCCTTGGCGTTAAAGATCAATGGGTCTACTTAAGTATTCATGAGGGAACAAAGTCCAGCTGAGAAAGAGGCATAAACTGAACCACAGTAGGTCAAGGTGCCTGGGCCTTAGCTGTGATCTGTCACTAGTGCAGAATGGCCCTGTGTGGGACAAGAAGTTGTTAGACTGTTGAAGATTACCTCATTTAAAGGTGTAGAAGGGAACTATGCTTGAGAATACAGCCCCCCGGGACCAATTTCTTCCTACAGCAGTTTATTTTTTTTCTCCTTGCCTGCTTCTTTTTTTTAACTTTTACTGAAATTTAAAAACAAACACAAAGACTCCCCACGTCCCTATAACCCATCATCATCAACAGTGAATGGCATTGGCCAACCTTGCTCCTGCCCCTACTGGAGGACCTGGGTGAGCATCTGGACTTGGTCACACTTCCTGCCTAGCCCTTGCCCACACCCCAGCAGGGCATCCCACACAGATCTCAGGCTGCTGTAGGGGCAGGCCACAATTGATCAAACAGTAGCTCCAAATAAAGACAGCTAGGGTGCTGGGAGTTTCTCCACCAACACTCCTGGCATTCAGGCCAAGATCTGGGTCCATCCACTCATGGCCCTGCTCTGTCATTACAAATGTCAGATGAGACAGGAAATCAGAACATATCTTTGATGGAAAATCATCTCAGACGTAAAATAGAGACAGTAGGACTTCATAGCCACCCTAGGCATGTGCATATTTTTTATTCCAAGGTGTAAAAATGTTTCCAGGGACAGAAGCAAAGTCTGTTCCTTTACAATCTCATGAGTGATGATGAGTGATTTCTAGCTCTTTCACCATTGAGAATTTTTATTATTGGTCTTTCCTATAGATTTTGTCCATCATTTTTCTCATGTACTTACTAGACAAAGCATACTGCAAATCAGGTCTTCTGCTCCACAAAGGAAATCACTTATCTTACTAAATTACTATAACTTGGCTTGGTGTGTGTAGCTCAGTGGGTGCCAGCCACATACACTGGAGCTGGTGGGTTCAAATCTAACCTGGACCTGCCAAACAGCAATGACAACTACAACCAAAAAACAGCTGGGTGTTGTGTCGGGTGCCTGTAGTCCCAGCTACTTGGGAGGCTGAGGCAAGATTATCGCGTAAGCCCAAGAGCTAGAGGTTGCTGTGAGCTGTAATGCCATGGCACTCTGCTGAGGGCAACATAGTGAGACTGTCTCAATAAATAAATAACTATAATTTGCACCAAATATGTAAAAATTTATTATTATTCTTTGTAACTTTAACATAAATGCGAGTTCTGACAGGCTTTTACAAATAGTCAAAGTAGCTTCTAGGTCCTCTTTCTTTTTTTAATGATCTTTGGAGACTCATAAGAACTACCAGATTTGATGACTGCAAATTATCAAGAAAGAAGAAAATTCAGTGATATCTCAAAAATTATAATTCATATTAAATTACAAGTCTTGATTATTATTCTTTTTTCACAAAATGCTTCAATGTGGTCTTTGAAAGAGGTAAAAGATATTTTTGAAAGTACCTTAATATATAAGGTAAGACTACAAAGTAGTGTGACAGGTTTTTCTCTCACATTTGTAAACTGGATTAGAAGACAATCCCCAGAATTCCAGAACTGCTGTGGAGATACTATCATTTTTATTTACAGTCAGGGTAAACTGTATTTGACAAGGTTGCCATCTTGCATGGTATGAATAATCTCAACTTCTGGGTATCAGAAGCCCCATCACAGAATGAAAGGTGTTAAATCATGTCATCTTAAATAGCCTTTCCAGCTGTTATTCTGTAATGCCATGAAATCAAAGCAATATGTTCTAGGCTGTTTGTAGACAGGGATTTTAGAACCTATATTCATTCAAAAAATTTTTTGAATCTTATTTAAAAATACATGTGTACATACATACACATACACTCCCGTGTTTTTCTGTGCACTTAAATAGGTTTTCCTATTTAACAGACTCTTCATCATTTGCAATAAAAAAAGCTTCCCAATGATGCATTTTTTTCATTTTCTTGCTTTTATTTCTTTCCAGCTTCCCTTTTTAACTTCTCCAAGATCTCTTCTGGAGTTGTGGAGGCTAAAACTTTCACCACCTTTTCACGAGACTTACCACCCTGGACCAAAAGGAAAAAACACACTAAACATTCCAATATAATTAGAGACAGCAGACCTCAGTTATATGATGGGCTTTCCTAATGGCTTAGGTACCACTTTCTCCTGGCCACTTCTGGTCTAACCAAAGACTATCTCTTAGATTCTACCTTACTACAGATTTTTACAACTCTCTAGGGTTTTCATCCATGAAATTCTGCAATAATAAAAGCTGGGCATTAAAATTTCAAAATGAATATAGAATCTTTGTAATATTCTCGGTGCATTTACTTATAAATGAGGCCAGGTGCAGTGGCTCAGGCCTATAATCCTAGAACTCTGAGAGGCTGAGATGGGTGGATGGATTGAGCTTAGGAGTTTGAGACTAGCCTGAGCAAGGGCAAGACCTCATCTCCACCAAAAGACAGGAAAACTAGCCAGGCATTGTGGCAGGTACTTGTAGTCCCAGCTACTGAGGAGGCTGAGGCAAGGAAAATCACTTGAGCTCTTGAGTTTGAGGTTGCTGTGAGCTGTGATGACACAGCACTTTACCCAGGGTGACAGAGTAAGACTCTGTCTCAAAAAAAGGTCACTTTTAAAACACAAAAATATTGCAACTTTATATAAATTTTGCATAAAAATAATTCTAAATACAAGCAAATTGCTATTCTCTACATTGTTAAAATTTCTGAAAATTCCTGGGCAGTGCCTGTGGCTCAAAGGAATAGGACACCAGCCCCATATACTGGAGGTGGCGAGTTCAAACCCAGCCCTGGCCAAAAAAAAAAAAAAAAAAAAAATCTGAAAATTCCAAACCAAAACCAATCAATGATTTCTAAATCACCTGGGCATGACCTTAGACTAACTGAAATAGAATTTGTAGGAGTGTAAATGCTGTAATTTCACAATCACTTAAAACAACTTTAAAAAGGCTTTGTTTTCAAAACGCATCCTTTAGAGAAGATAAAATCTGAGCAAGGATTTAGCTATGTGAACGGAGTCTGCACAGGTGGAAAAGTGGGCAGTACCTTTCAGGCAAAGGTCAGAGCATGAGCACTAGCCAAAAATCAGAGATCACCTGCTATAGGTGCAGCACTCAGATGGCTCTGAGGGACAGCATATTGATCAGTGGCTCTGATCACCCAGAACTGGGACAGCAGCTGTGCAATGCAGCACTGGAAAACAAGTAGCTCTTTCAGAAATATAAACATGGATGGGCCCCACTCCTACAGATTCTATTCCAGTAAGTCTAAGGTCATGCCCAGGTGATTTAGAAATCATTTCCAGATGATGCTGATACTCACCCCTAGTTCAAAAACATGAGTATTAAATGACTTTGTATGAATCTCTGTCTTCCTAACGATCTTCTCCTAATGAGCAAGGGCAGTGTGTGGATCAGCAATACTTGCTGGACTCATTAATGGAGATAATCAACAGGAGCCACTTTACATTTTTTACTATGGTAACGACTTGAGGTAAGAGGTAGGCAACATTAACCCCACAAGTTCAGAATAAATTGAGAAAGGAGAAAATGCTGGAAATGATGACAACTGAGAAATGTTAAGTACAGAGTGTAGACAGTCTGAATAAGGACTGGGCTGGTAGGAATGAAGGAAACTAAACAAGAAGAATCCTCAGCTTTTGTGGCTCTATGAGAGTTAAAATGACTGATTTTCCAGTTATTTGAAAAAGAAAAAAATCAGTATTTTCTGAGTCATGATTGATTTGAATAATAAAAACGTTTAAAGACAGAAAGAGGGAGGGAGAGAGAGACCTACCTTATCCAAAACCACATCACTCTTCCTGAGTTCTAAGATCTTAGAAAGATACCGGCAGAGTTCAGCATTAGCCTCCCCCTCTGATGGAGGTGCTGCAATGGCTACATTTACGGCTTCTGCTGTCAAATCTGGAATAAAGACAGTGTGGATTTTATCCTTATGAGTTCTTTTTCTTCATGAAATGAGTAAATTTTGAAAAAGAGCCTGCATTTGTCTGGTACATAGACACTCAAATACTAAGTGCTGAATGAAGAAATGAATGATTGAACTAATCACAGTTAAGGGACCAAAACATGATAAATATGTCTCTAGTACCGTGTTTCCCCGAAAATAAGACACTGTCTTCTATTTATTTTTTCTCAACAAGACACACTAGGGCTTATTTTCAGGGGATGTCTCTGCGCTAAAATGTAGGACATGGTTATGCATATATGCTGCATAGCCACGCCCATCACTAGGTCTTATTATTGGGGTAGGGCTTACATTTAACAAATGCATAGAAATCCTGCTAGGCTTTATTTTTGGGGTAGGTCTTATTTTGGGGGAAACACGGTATTACAGAAAATAAATTCAAAGAAACTGATATTGGGTGGCGCCTGTGGCTCACCGGAGGTGGCGGGTTCAAGCCCAGCCCTGGCCAAAAACAACAACAAAAAACCCAAAAACTAAAATAAGAAAACTGATATTCATCCAACCCTGCTGACCAAGATGGTATTCCTGCAGGATCCTAGGGAACATCCTGGATTTAGGCAATTGAAATTACATTTGGTCTGATAGGAGGAGCCACAGACAGGGAATTAGAGGAGCTGGGCTTTGGCCCAGCATGTTACTGAGGAAGTGCATGGAATGGACAGCTCCCTAGATTGTACAGGGTTGTGCAGGGTTTCTCATCAGGAACAAGAAAGTACAGGGCTAGGTTCATCTCTCAGGTGATAAGCAACTTGAATGTTTTTAAAATTTAATAATGTTTATTTAACATTTATATATAGCACTCATTGCACTGTAAGCACACACAAATATTTTAAGGCAGCAGTTCTCAACCTATGGGTCACAACCCATAGGAACTGTATTAAAGTGTCGCACCATTAGGAAGGTTGAGAACCACTGTTTTAAGGGCTTTACAAGTATTAACTTGTTTAATACTCAATGACTTCATGAGGATATTAGTACCATTCTACAAATGAGAAAACTGAAATCAAGAAGTAATATACCTAATTTCACATGGCTAGAAAGTGATGATGTGATTCAAAAATAAATTTCAACTCATGATTTAAAATCCAGGGACAAAGAAGAGCAGTCTGCCTGTAATTCTACAGTTCTTTCTTTTCTTTTCTTTCTTTTTTTTTTTTTCTTTTTGAGACAGAGCATCAAGCTATAGTCCTAGGTAGAGTGCTGTGGCGTCACAGCTCACAGCAACCTCAAACTCCTGGGCTTAAGTGATTCTCTTGCCTCAGCCTCCCAAGCAGCTGGGACTATAGGTGCCAGCCACAACACCTGGCTATTTTTTGTTGTAGTTGTCATTGTTGTTTGGCAGGCCCAGGGCTGGGTTCAAACCCGCCAGCCCCAGTGCAGTGGATAACCCCCTAGCTGCTGAGCTACAGGCACCACTTCTACAGTTATTTCTGAGACAAAAGTATTTCCTCAAAGCAGTTTGCAAAGGAGCTTAAGCTAATCCTATAGCTCAAGGCTTTACTCAGGTACATGGCCACAGAATCAAGAATGAGGTGGTTAAAAAAAAAAAGAAACCCTCTTTCCAATCTGTCTGTGACTGTAAAACATATAGTTCTTCACATTTTATCATCTTTGCAACCAACATGTGTCTTATAACAGATGGAGAAAGTGTTCAGTTGAAATGGGTATTTTTCTTATGCATAAAGTACTTGTATACTTTATAGTTAATGCCATCTTAGATTTGAGGAAGCATTCCAACAGTACACAGTACCCATAGCCATTGCTTAGAAAATAATGGCCAAGGGCTTGGCGCCTGTAGCTCAGCAGCTAGGGGGTTATCCACTGCACTGGGGCTGGCGGGTTTGAACCCAGCCCTGGGCCTGCCAAACAACAATGACAACTACAACAAAAAATAGCCAGGTGTTGTGGCTGGCACCTATAGTCCCAGCTGCTTGGGAGGCTGAGGCAAGAGAATCACTTAAGCCCAGGAGTTTGAGGTTGCTGTGAGCTGTGACACCACAGCCCTATACCAAGGGCAACACAGTCAGACTCTGTCTCAAAAAAAGAAAAGAAAAGAATGGCCAAGAAGTGCCCAGCCAGTAAAGACAAGCCAACATGGTCTTTAGCTAAAACTAGGCCCAGCACAACTCTGGGGTTTTGTTTTCAAAATATAACAATGATTTGAAATACAGAGCTTTGGGGGTAAAATAAGACCTTCAAGATAATTCAGGTCAATGGTTTTCAAAATTTTTTCTCCCTCAGAATCCTTTCTTTTTGCCAATTTTGTCAGGAATCTCAATATTTAAACAAACGCATATGTAGCTGCTCGGGAGCCACATCTGCCTGGCTTCCCCCTTGCCCAAATCAGAGATTCTTCAGGCACTTCCAGGGCTCCAGTTTCAATAGCTTGAAACCCTCTCAATCCAACTATGTCATCTGACAGATGAAAAAACTGGGCCCCTAAACAAATGTTTTATATTGTTTCACTTTAAAACAAGCTTACACAGGAAATGATCAGGGGTCTCAGATCTCGGTTTTCTTCCCTTTGGTAGAACAATGATAATTAAACTGGACCAACACGTCTCTTCTTACTCTAGCCAGTGTTTCCAGTTTTGGAATAGGATAAAGAAAGAATAATCTAGGCTATACGTTATGTCTCAAATGTTTCCTTTCTAAAATACCATATTTTTTTTAAGTATACACATTTTAATTTACTTTTAAAAATAAATTTATATTTTAAAAACAGGATAAACAGCATGCCCAACATAGACCAAGTGCACACTGGTAAGCTTTTGAGAACCATTTAGTATATGGACAGCAGTATAAAATACCATATTTTTAAAAAGGAAAATATCCAATGGTTTTCATTTAACTTTAAGTATCATATATTCACTTTCAAACACCTTTATATTACAATCTAGAACTTTACAATAGTGAAGCTGTTAATTGCAGATGTGAAAAATATACTCCTAAGCTTTCAGCTAACTGAGGCAATGGAGGCTGGGGGGACACCTGATTTATACACAATCCCATCCCAGTGTCTGGATATACCTGTTACAGCGTTCTGTTTGGAGCCAGGTTTGGCATGGATGGCTATGGTGACACAACCTTTTGGATCAACTGCCACAGGAGCTAAGGGAGGAAGTGGTCTCTCTGGTTCATTGCTCTGGCATTTACCCTAAAATGACAACAACCAGACAGCTTTAAAGGTTACTAAGCATTTTCCCACACATTTAATCTGCTCTTTTCACTACTCTCTTTCATTTTAACTAAGACGAACTAATCAGTCGTGCTCACTCCTGGCCACCTAGAACGCTCTTCCCATGTCCTTCAAGGCTCAAATTAACTCTTTCACGAAGCCGCCCGGTTGACTCCACTGTGTTTTTTCCTCCCTTGAAAGAAGACCTGACAGGCTTCTTAATGCTGGTTCCCATCGTCTCGTTCGTACTTCCGATCCCTCAGCGACACTAATCACGCGTCACTTATCCCGCGGGAGCCAGTGAAGTACTGAGGTTGGGAGTGTGTTCGGGTGTCTAGGCGGGGGAGAAGGAACGACAGCGACTGGTATTTAAAGCCTGTTATGGGACCGAAACTGTGCTAAGAACCGAACCAAGCAGTCCGGCAAGCAGCGAGAGAGGAAGAACACACGTAACCATCGAGCACAGCCGCACAGCCCTCGGCTGCGCCTGACCACCGGGTGGAAACCTGCCCCGCAGCAGCGGCGGGAGTGCCGCGTGCTCGACAGAAGGCCGAGGAGGACAGAGTAGCTCAGGGCAGCGCCAGTCTGCGACAGATGCGGTCGGCAAGTCCCCAGACCCAGCCCAGGGGCAGCTCGTGGCGGGGTGCGGGCGGCAGGAGCCCCAGGCCCGCAGGCTAGAGGCGCTATCCTGAGTCCCGGAGCTGCGAGAGAAATGCCGGCGGGGCCCTCCACCCACCCGCGGGCCCCCCTTAGTTCCCGCGCTCCTCAATGAGCCGCCTTGTGGCCCACCCTCCTGTCGCCACGGGACTTGCCACTGGCCTTGCTCGTCGCGCTAGCCTTCTTAGGCATATCGGCGCCAGAACAGACCCGAGCGGAGGGCGGAGCTCCCGGTCCTGCCAGAAGCTGCTTCAACCCGCAGCCCAGACGCAGCATCCCCGCCCGGGAGGCGGTGGGGGAGCGGCCCCGCGCCGGAAGGGCCCTCTGCGCCTGCGCACGAGCAGGAGGGTGCGACCCCGGCACCCCGCGCATCAGCCCCGGCCCGAGGGCGACGCCTGGCGGTCGGCGGGAGTGAGTCTCCTCCTCTATAACTTGCGTGGGCCCCTCTGCGGAGGAAATGGCTTAAGCCGCTGATGATCTTCGCTTTCATCAGTGGGGGATAAAGAAAGGTATTGTCACTTCTCAAGATTGGAGTGAGCGGCAAAGTGTGCACAGGGCCAGGTGTCCTGCCCCTGCAGCCAACCAGCAGGTGCGTACTGGTTCCCACGCTGCTTCCTACGACCTACAGGTCAATACAGAGCTTCGCACCAGTTTTGCTCTTGGGTACATTGCATGTGTCGCTGGCACAGGGGATCCCATAATGGTGATGGAGAGGAAATATGTATTCTATGACAGGTGATACAGCAAGACATAAAATTGGAGAAGTCAGCAGAGGCAAGATCACGGAGTCACTGAAGGGTTTGAAGCTCCGGATTGGCTGTCTAAGTTGTGTTCTAGAAAGACCACTGTGGCCAGTAGAGGGAAGGCCAGAGATTGGGAAATCTACCTGAACTAGAGTAACTGTAGCAGGATGAAGCACTGATCAAGGATATTCAGGATATCCTTGGAGAATATCCTGAGGATATTTCAAGGATATTCAGAAACTGGAATGATTGGAACCTGGGGAATGACTGGATGTGGAAATGAGAACGAGGTCAAGGAAATGCCCCAGTGTGGGCCAGAGGAGCAAGTGTGGAGTGTGTGGTGGAGTTCAGGTTTGGACATAGGGGTTTGAAATGCCTGTGGGGCATCCAAGTACCGATACTAAGGTGGTAACTGAAGCTTGAGAGATGACTCGTAAGGTGACCAGATTTTAACATTGGTAAAGTGAGGCACCATTGATGGGGAGGGGGTTGGGTTTTGTTTTTTTTTTTTTGACAGAGCCTCAAGCTGTCCCCCTGGGTAGAGTACTGTGGCCTCACAGCTCACAGCAACCTCCAACTCCTGGGCTCAAGCGAGTCTCCTGCCTCCGCCTCCCAAGTAGCTGGGACCATAGGGCCCGCCACAATGACAGGCTATTTTTTGGTTGCAGCCATCATTGTTGTTTGCGGGCCCTGGCTGGATTTGAACCCGCTACCTTAGATGTATGTGGTTGGCGCCTTAGCCACCTGAGCCACAGGCGCCAAGCCAGGTGTGGGGTTCTTAATTAAAAATTTGGTCTATATGGAGCAAGAAAAATTTTCATAGAACGCAAAAATAGTATTGTAATATATTTTTTAAATTTCAACATAAATAGAACTTACAGATATAATACATAAAAAATTATGTATAGTACTATTTTATTCTTTGGCATATTTCTCATTTGAGTGAATTTTTTTTAGTAGATTGCTGTCATTATTTAAAAGGTCATGAAATTTTTCACAAGAATTTGTTAAATTATATTTCACACATAAAATGGCTTTCAAAGTCTCAACACTTAATTGTGATTTTTCTGATGTCCACACTTTATTTACCGTAGAAAAAACATGTTCAGTCGCAGCGTTATTTCCTGGTAAGGACAGCACGTATCCCACAATTTTTAGTGCATTATTGTATGGAACATGGTTTGTTTCTGAGGCAAGAAAGTAAAAGCAGAACTAAAAGAATCTATCCTAGCGGCTCCGTGTAGGCCTCAGCCAGGCCGCAGGTGTTTCTGCTGTCTGCATGTTTCTCCCCTGACATGCGCGGGGCCTAGATTGTAACCTAGTAACTTCCTTGGGTTTCTGTTGCCTTTGGGGCAGGTGGTCTGACTGGTCTCAAGGATGAGGGCGAATCTGACCTTCCCCCTTGAGCCCAGGACCTTGAGGATGATGTCATGTCTCTCTGTCTTATGACCCTCACGTGCACTCCCACCCTGAAAGGTGGATAAAAGAGAGGCAAGAGATTGAGTCAGGGGAGCTCAGTTTTGGGAAACACGCTGGTGTTCTGAGTACCCCCGGCCAAATAAACCCGCTTCCTCTAATCAACTGGTGCCTGGAGTCTTCTGTCTGTGTCGGTTTCCTGCTACATTTCTTGGTTCCCTGACCGGGAAGGTTTGGCGGAAAAACTGTGCAGCCAGATTTCTTTCTTTCTTTTTTTTTTTTATTGAATGGTACTATGTACATTAATGCACTTCTGGGGTACAGTGTGGGGTTTTCACACACAATCTGAAACACTTCCATCAAACTGGTTAACATAGCCTTCATGTCATTTTCTTAGTTGTTTTAAAATGTTCACATTCTGCTCTTAGAAAGATTCACTTGTACCCTTATAAGATAAACCACAGAAGTGATCCCTCCAATCCCCCTCCCTCCACCCGTTCCCCCTCCCCTCTCCCTCCCCCCTTCCCATATTCTTAGGCTGTTAATTAGGTTATAGCTTACATATAAAAGGTATAAATTAGTTTCATAATAGGGGTGTGTACATTGGATACTTTTTCTTTCATTCTTGTGATACTTTGCTCAGTATCACATTTTATGGTTTCATGTCTTAAGTTTAAATCTTTAATTCAATGAGAGTCTAACTTAGTTAATGGTGAAAGGTGTGGGTCCAGTTTTAGTCTTCTACAGGTTGCCAGCCAGTTCACCCAGCACCATTTTGCTCAGAAGAACATTTTCCAGTTCCATCCATGTGAACATGAAGGACATAAAGTCTCCATCTTTCTTTATGGCTGCATAGTATTCCATGGTGTACATATACCACAGTTTGTTAATCCATTCGTGGATTGATGGGCATTTGGGCTTCT